ACCAGCATCTCCCTTGAGGCAGTCCTTCATCCAGAGGGGACTTGGGGACTAAGGGAGCCCAGTCTGAGCCCTTATTTCATCTCCTGCTCAATATGAACAAGGAGGCACGATGCCCCAGTTGCTTCTGGCACCTGCAAAGAAGCGGGGAAATTATAGACTAGTCCCAGGTGGGCTAAAGCTGAGTCACTGCCCCCAAATAATTAACACCACCCTTCCCAGCAGGAAGGACTGGCCACTGCTCAGAGGAGATGGTACTGGGTTAACAAATGGCAGACACCACTCAACTACTTTTGAGTCCATTCTTCTAGCAAGAAGGATGGTTTTCGAACTGGAAAGGGGAGATGAATATATTTATCAGGGATGTGGCCCAAGATATCTCTGGCGCTCCCAATGCCTTCCACTCACAGATGCGGGAGGGCTGGAAGCTCAGAGCTGACAAGGAGGGTGGGCCGAGAACACCAGGGACTGTTCGGAGATCTGGACCTCAACCCCCAAGAACGCCGCAGCCTAGAACAGCCTCTCAAAGATGCTTACAAATGTTTACCAAAAATACCAATAGTAAGAGCAGCAGCAATTCTGATAGCGGGCCTACCCCGTCCCGATACTGAACACTTTACGTGTATTAACGTGTTCAAGCCCCACAATAACGCTATGGAATGAGAACTGTTATCACCCCCATTTTATGGATGAGTAAACAAAGCCCTAGAGAGGTTAGACACAAAAGCAAGCTATCAGAGGTCAACACGGGTTCAGGGCACTGGGCCATCATTTCTCGTCCTTGTCACAGTGGTGTCGCTCCTACTTATTACAGACTTTCAGGGCTGGGACAGCGCCCTCACATTCTTTGAAACGTCAACCTGTGTTCTCACACACGATTCATGTTTTCTTCGAATTTCCTTGTCTTCTCTTTTCTACTATGATTCCCAAGTCAATAAATTAGGGGAATATCAGAGGCCAACCTGATACATACATAACATTATTATTATTATTATTTTATTTTTTTTTTTTGCGGTACGCGGGCCTCTCACTGTTGCGGCCTCTCCAGTTGCGGAGCACAGGCTCCGGACGCGCAGGCTCAGCGGCCACGGCTCACGGGCCCAGCCGCTCCGCTGCATGTGGGATCTTCCCGGACCGGGGCACGAACCCATGTCCCCTGCATTGGCAGGTGGACTCTCAACCACTGTGCCACCAGGGAAGCCCCATAACATTATTATTAACTGAAGTCTGTACTTTATTCAGACTTCCTTAGTTTTTGCCTAATGTCCTCTTCTTGTTCCAGGACCCCACCCGGGACACCACATTACATTTAGTTGTCACGTCTCCTTAGGCTTCACTTGGCTAGGACAGTTTCTCAGACTTCCCTTGGTTTTGATGACCTGGACAAAGGTGAGGAGCACTAAGCAGGTGTTCTGTAGAATAATGTCCCTCTGTTGAGATTTTTGTGATGTTTTCTCATGACTGGACTGGGGTGATGGGTTTGGGTGGGGGATCACAGTGGTAAGGTGCCTCTCCCATCACATCGTATGAAGGGTACATACTACCTACGTGACTTATCACTGCTGTTGTTGATCCTGGTGACCCGGCTGAGGCAGTGCGTGTCAGGCTTCTCCACCGTAAAGCTGCCCTTTCCCCGCTTTCCACAGTGTCCTCTTTAGAAGGCAGTCATTATGCATACCTGACGCTTACAGGGTGGGGGGTTATGCTGCACCTCCTTGATAGGGAATTATCTACATAAATTATTTTAATTTGTTCTGTATGGGAGACTCTCCTAGTATTTATTTATTAATATTAAATCATTTATTGATATTAGTATGGCCTCATGGATATTTGTTTTACACTTTGCAACCTAGTATATTTTGATTTTTGCAAAGCATTTGATTCTGGTGTCCCTGGCATTCTGGGCGCAGTTGATAAAATATGGATAATCAGCTCTGACAAATTCACTGAATTCCGTATCTAGTGAATGATAGCTATCCACCCTAGAGCACTGGCGGGGGGGGGGTAGGAGGTGGGAAATCAAGGTCTCTATGTGATTTTTAAAAAAATGAAATAGAAACTGCCAGAAAACATAGCATTTTGAAGGGGGAATGACAGCCCTATTCTGTAGTGCATGTGTGAATTTGGTGTGCAGTGAGCAGGGCTGAAAAATGTATTTCTGTGGGTCTCGGTCAGTAACACAGTGTGAACAGAACCACCCCTACGAGGCTCTGTCCGTGGTCCTGCCCTGGGTTTACACCAGCCTGTCAGATTGAGACATAATGCACCCACTGCTCCAGCCCCTAGGCAGCACAGCATCGGAGTGACAAAGGTAGGATTGTAAATTCTCTCTATTGTCTGTTACAATGGGAGGAAATGAACAAGATGAAATTTAACAGGAATAAGGTCCAAGTTACAGGTTTAGATCTAAGAAAGTACTGACACAGACAACAGGCCTGATCTCTTCAACAAGTCAGGGTTATTCAAATTAAAAAAAAAAAAAAAAAAGAATTGCATCAAAGTAAGAGATCAGAATAACCGGATGCATTGCACAGTTCTGGTGAGGAAACTGGTTTGAACAAAACAGCAAAGATTGATGTTTTGGGGCCAAATAGGGAAATCTGAATAAGGTGTGCATATTAAATGAGATGAGAATTTTTTGAAGCATAAAAGTGCTGATCATTTACTGCAAAAAAATCAGGTTACAAGACAGTATGCACAGCATGACCTCATTTTATGGAGAAAATCTACATATAAGCATAGAAACAGCTCTGGAAGGATGTGACCAAGGTGTCACAGCTAGGCTCCCTGGGAGATGGGAACATATTTTATTTTTGCTTGCCCATATTTCTAAGTTCCCGCAGAACATATAAACTGATTCTGTAATGATATAAGATTATGCTTTAAAAAGAAGAATCACTGACGCTCCTCCAGGATGGAGGGGAATCTTGGCTTGGCAGAGGCTGCTAAGAAAGATCCCTGGGGGTTTCAGTGGCCAGAAACTTAACATGAGTGCACCACTCAAAAGGCACCCTCGCCCTGAGCCACCCGTGTGTGTGTGTGAGAGGTGCTGGGGCCGGAACAGTCCTGGAGTCTCCTGGTCCAGCCCCTCCATGTCATTACTAGGAGAACTCCGTCACACAATTAGTCGACGGTGGCTTCAGGGCTGGAAGCCAGAGGTTTGGTCCCTGTCAGATCGTATGGAAATGGTCTGGGGCTTCAAGAACAGGGGGTATTTGGCCTGGAGAAGCGAGGATGGTAGGAAGTGAGTGGGAAGGGGACAGGAGTGCTGTTTTGAAATATTTAAAGGCTGCCACGTAGAAGAGAGACCCACATGGGTCCCCGTCCAGAACCACGATGACTAAGTGACAAGCAGGTTTGGCTCCAGAGTGTATGAGGAAGAAACTCTGAGAAGAGGAGCTGTCCAGATCAGGGATAGGGTTGGGGCTTGTTAGGGGCTCACCACTGAGCCCGTGCGGCCTCCTGCCCGAGCCTGCTGGGAAGCTCTTCCCACCACTGAGACTGCGGTTCTGGAACTCCAGTTCCAGCCAGAGCCACACCTCTCCCCTGCAGCCTGTGTTCTGAGAGGAAGGACTGGGGCTCTCCCCAGGCTTGGGGTCTGCTCAGCCTGCCTCGATGAGGGGAGGGGCTTGACCAGCCTTTGGGAAGGAGAAGGGCCGGGTGGCTGCAGGAAATGGTCCTGAACAAATCCCAGCAGAGGGAGAGGGTGGGCTCCAAAGGGGCCGTAGCAGTGAGCCTCCTGGGATGGCGTACCTGAGTTCTCGAACTTGACACTTGCCTCACCCTCTTTCACCTACGGGTCTCAGGGACTCCCAGGCCCCAGCCATGCCCGATGGCCATGCAGAGATGATTATCTATCATCTCCCCCTTGCCAGGTGACAGGGAAGCATGGATCCAACCCAGGCATGCCCTGGCTTCTCTTATGTTCTGGAATGCTAGGCCCCAGCTGTCCCCAGAACAGAATGCCAGCCAGTGCCCATGCAGAGCCTGAGGCCTCAGGTGGCCTTGGAAACTCACTACTCAGGGCTTCGGCTCCTGACCATTTCAGAGTGGGCAGTAGCAGAAGGGTGGGGATGCTCTCCTGCCAGGTGGGTGCCTTGCCGTACCCCCTCCCCCAGACATAGCCACCTGTCCTTGTGCCCATGGCATGAGAGTACACCTGTCTCTGCCCACCCCACTGGCAGCACCCACCCTCTGATTCCAGCCCTGCTAACAACCAACACCGTTCCTACTTTCCCCAAATCGACGCCC